GCCGCAGAGTGGCTGGGCCCGTGAGCCATGGCTGCTGAGCCTGCGCGTCCAGAGCCTGTGCTCCGCAACAGGAGAGGCCACAACAGTGTGAGGCCCGTGTACCGGAAAAAAAAAAAAAAGGAACTGATGGGTTTCCTCACACAAGGTGGCCAGAGTGGGGCAGATCTGGTTAGCTGAGCTACTGAACCAGACTGTTCTCAGAACGTATCCCCTTGGGATTATTTTGAGGAAGCCAGCAGATATGTGAAAGTGCTTTTAAACCATCAAGTGGGATTCCCATGGGAGGAGTTACCCCTGATGACCAACCATAATAGGCTCCTAAAAAGGTGCTTGGAGATTGGGAGTGACCACAACACTGAGCGTACCCTGGCATGGGGTGGCCCAACCCGAGTTGTACGTTTTTCAAGGAGGACATTTGGCTGGGTGGAAGGAAACAGTTCTCTCCCTTATCTTCGCAGGTGGCTCCCGGGGCCTAGTTCATGGGCGGCTGTGGCGTCGGGACGGGGTCCTGGCTATGTCCTGTGCCCAGGAGGGCGTGATCCGAGTGAAGCCCCGGGACTCAAAGCTGTAGCCAGAGGTACCAGCTTGGTCTGGGGCTTCAAGGATCTCCCTTCTTCCCCGACTCCTGAGGCAGGAGTTACCATCCAGGGCTGGGCCTTTGGTCCTGAACAGGGAATAAAGAGACTTCTACCAGTGGAGCTGCTGGCTTTTAATCCCCCTGGGCCGGAACTGCAGCTCTCCCTCCAGCCATCAACCCCAGGACTCCTGGGCCAGAGTCCCTGGCCCTTAGCCAGGCTGGCTCGGAGGCCCAAGGAAAAGGGACCGTTGACCCTGACCTGGGGCACAGCCCCCAGAATTCATAAGCTTGAGAGGCTGCACCAGACTTTCTCCCTGCACCATCCTAGCCAAAGCTTGTCCTGAGCCCAGCTCAACAGAAGCAGCACATTTCTTCAGTCTGCTGCAAATCCTTTGTGGAACTTCTAGGGGTTCCCAGCACCCCTGGTCACCTCCCAACTGCTGTCCGTATCCTCATCCGCCCCTACCCCACTTCCCATCCTGGGGCAGTGCCTCTCCCCACAGTGGCCTTAAGTCTAGGTGTGGTTAGTCCAGCACCTCCTTGATGAGTAGTTCTTTGAGACTGGGGGGTGGCGTGGGCGTCAGGCCTGCCTCTTGCAGGGCCTGGAGCCGGGCCTCTGACTGGTGTTTGTCCAGGCCCAGGTGCCAGGAGAGCCGCACGTGGGCCTCCAGAAAGGGTGCCAGAAAAGGGTGAGGGCTCTTGTCCCCCAGCAGCTGTAGGGCCTTCTCACAGCATGCCCTGGCCTCCCCAGGGTCCTCCAGCTCCTGGTGGCACACAGCCAGCCCCGCCAGGGTCAGCAGAGGGCGGTCTGGGCCTGAGGGGACACCCAGCTGGGCTTGCAGCTGCCAGGCGTTGGCCCAGAGCGCCAGGGCCTCGCGGTAGAGGCCAGTGCAGGTGAGGCTCTGCGCCCGCCGCAGCTCTGGCAGCACAAAGAAGTCTTGCAGGTCCGGGGCCTGGCGCAGCTCAGGGACTGCCTGGAGGTGGCCCAAAAACTGCTCGAAGGCCCGGCTGCGCCGGGCGATGGTCTCTGCGGTAAAGTTCCGGCGCAGGCGCTTGCGGGGGAAGGAGATGGCAGCCATGGGGCCCCGGAACTGCCGCTGCAGGTTTCGGTGCAACCGCTCGAAGTCCGAGTATCGGCGGGAGATCTGGGCTGGCTGGCGACCCGGTGACCCTGGGCCCATCACGGCGAGGGTGTAGAGCTGCGGGGGAGGGTGGGGGTCAGGGCAGGTGCAAGGTGTACCCGGGACCCTTCCCTCTCGCTTCCAGCTCTCTTCCCCCACCTCTTCCCTTCACCCCCGAGGCTGCTGGGGAGCCCAGTCTCATCTTACCTGAGGCTCATCTGAAATGACCCAGGCCCAAGGCAGCATGGGGAGAAAAAGACAGAGATGAGCTTCAGCGCCTGGTCCAGCCGCCCCCTCTGCCCCTCCTAGGGAGTACTCCCTTCGCACAGTGCAGTGAGCTCTTCTAACAGCCCCTCTGGAAAACCAGCCGAGGGCCGAAACCCAGGCCCATCTCTTGGGCCTCTAGAGCCAACCTTTAGGATCAGCTTGGAGCTTTATTCCACTCTGGATACGTAGCCCCACATCCCTGGCCAGGTTATTCCAATCCAGACCCAGAACACAGGTCTTCAGACAGCCCCAGTAGCGACCAGTGTGAAAAGTGCACTGGGACCCAAGTTCTAACCTCAGGTCAGGTGCTCCCTCACTATGTGATGTCAGGCAGGGCAGTCCCCTTCTTGGGTCCGCTTCCGACTCTAGTGAATGGAGCGCTGGCCCAGCTCACTGTTTACTTAAGTGTGGGACGTGTGCAAACGTTGGTACCTGGGTGGTTTAGGGGGTATGTACTGGAGTAAATAACACTGAATCAGAGGCAGGAGGCGATGCCCCCACTAATTCTCTGTGAACCTTTCTGACGGCACATTGACAAGCTCTCAGTTTGGTTTAAAAAAGTCCTTTTCATCTCCATTTTTAGAAAAGAGCCAGAAAGAGACTCTCAGGTCAGGGCCTTCTTCAGGCAGCAGCATCCAGGCAGGGCTTAATGACACTTTCACCGCTTTTATTTTTATGGTTATCTTCTCTTTATGGCAAGTGAGCCTTTCCATATACAGTTGTGCTATAAAGTTGTCTTTTAAGCTTATTTTTTAAAAAATAGGTTTATTTGAAGAGAACCGTGAAGCACAGAATGGTACAAGTAGCGTTTAGATAGGACAAGAATTGTGAGGGTGCTGGAGGTTTGGGAAACACTGAACAAGATGAGCACTAAGCTTCCCCCCAGGTCCGAGAACCCAAATATGGATTAATCTGTAATCATGCTGAGCTAACAGGTCTAAAGGGGGGATTAGCAAGCGTTCAATGTTGAAAGCATACTAACACCAAACCGAGATTTTTCTCTCGAATTTGTTCTGTGAAACTGCCAGTATCCTAGCCACCCCTGGTCAGTTAGGTGTGCCTGCTCTATCCTTCCCTTGAAGATTCACAGTGTACATTAATATTCAGGATTAAAAAGTTGAACAATAAAGAAACTTATTTTACTCTCGTTCAACTCTGCATTCCCAAAACATATTGCATATGGACTGTAAAAACTTTTTTTTTTTTTTAAAGAACAGTTATTGATATTCCAGGGAGGGAACCAATTTTCTGCTGAACACATTTCAGGAAGCACTGGTCTATAGTGACCCCTTATGCTCATCCAGCTTTTATTTTCATTTGTAATTTCTGGACAAAAACCCATTTTACATCCATTATCTGATCCTTACACTGTCCCGCTGAGATAGGTAATGAGAGTCACTCCATTAACTGAGCGCCTACCCTGCACCACGTGCTGTGCCTAGCTCTTCACATCTACTATTTTATCATCACGACAGCACTGCCCGGAAGCCATCCTTACCTCCGTTTGACAGCTCAGGAAGCAGGCCCCAAGAGGGGGCAAAGGGTTCAAAGACCTCCCTTAAGCTGGTAAAGGGCCCAGCTGGGACTCAAACCCAGGCTGACCTAATTCCAAAGCCTGTGCTCTTAACCCCCAGGAGATGTTAAAGCAGGATTTAGGGTCCCCATCGAACAAAGAGAAGATTCGTTTCCCCAGACCTGGGCCAGGCCAAACTTGGCTCTATCTTGTCATTCTCTTCCCAGAGTTGCCCACATACTTCCTTGTCTCCCAGCTGCTACTAGATAACTGATCCTTGGCGCCCCCTTCCTGTGCATGACCCCCAGCCAGGACTTTTGCCACTTAAGATCTGATCATCGGAGTCAATCCCTGCTCAAATGGGAGCAGTCACCCCATGGGCGTGGCCCTTTTTTCACTAAGAGCTGCAGAGAGGGGTGGAGAAGCCCAGACGTGGGACAGGGCTCCAGGCCCCCTTCCTGCTG